AAAAGCAGCCATATACTCATCAGACAACAGAGTAGAAGGGTCAAAGTCACTTACCTTTGAGGTGCTAGCAGTGAGAGCAGTGGTGGTCCTCTCATCAGGAACTTCTTCCTTCTCTTCATGCATCTCAACCTCATAAGCCTTGAGATCAGAGATGAGTTTCTCAGTGGCATAAGTCTTGATGTTCTTGCTTTCCTGGACTGCAATCACCTTCATCTTCCAGGCAGAAGGCAGTCCCCTGAGGATCTTCATGTTGACCTCTTTGATGGTGAGCTCCTTTCCAAGCTCAGAAATCTCACTAATGAGAATCAGCAGTCTCTCATGCATCTTAGCAATACATTCTTCTGGCAGAAGTTTGAAGTCATCAAACTTCTTCATAGCAATGGTCAACTTGTTATCTCTTTCTTGTTCATCTCCTGCTCCAATCTCATCCAGCTTATCCCAGATTTCTTTGGCAGTTCTGCACTTCTTGATTCTGTTAAAGTATCTTTCATCAATAGCCTTGTAAAGGATGTCCTTGGCTATATTATCTAGATTGTACTGCCTCTTCTCTTCCTTGGTCCATTCTGACCGGGCTTTCTCAATCATCTGGGGCTGAAAGTTATCAATGGAGTGAGCAGGATTGATCTTCATGAACTGGATAAAGGGGCCATTTTCCAAGACTTCCCACATTTCATCATGAAGGGCACATAGATGTGCCTTCATTCTGATCTTCCAATCATCATACTTCTGATCTGTGAACATAAGATGCTTTGCAAGAGAATTATCCATTATAATAAATAAGGAGAGGCTAAGAACAAGTGGATCTTTGTTCAGAGAGTAACCTGAAAGATTACAAGAACAAGGAGGCTCTGATACCACTTGTTGGTCCCGTTTAGTATGGTAATCAGTCTAGAGGGGGGGGGTGAATAGACTGATTGGTTTTTCAACTTTTTCTCAAAGTCAAAACTGACTTATCAGAGAAGGTCTGATTCTGATGACAGAGAGAGGCTGGTTCTGATATCAGAACTGGCCTTGGCAGCGGATTCTGATCTGTCCGGGTAGCCTCAGAAAAATACTAAGGCAAATGCCTTTCTGATAACTCTGAAAACAAGATCTGCTGAACACAGATTCCAAGTCTTAGAGTTAATCAGATAATATCCTAAGTGCAGAAATATAAATTGCAGTAAAGTAAATGACACCAGATATTTTTATAGTGGTTCAAGGAACAACTCGTTCCTCTAGTCCACTGTTCCACTAGCTTTGAAGTAGATCAGTTACAAAGCTAATTCCTAGCACTTAAGAAGCACTCCTCGTCTTCTTCAAGCCTAGATGCCACCCAGGATGCAGTTCCACGTCCTGATGGCTGATCCTTTCACTCAGCTTCCCGGAAGTATCACCACTTCACTACTGCAGTTACTTGGACGCCCTTCTTTTCAGAAGATCCTTTGAAAAACAGAGTTTTTCCTCCAACTTGCTTCGTTACAAAGGATGTTTGATGAAGTTCTTGAAGTGTTGAAGAGCAGGATGAACTTTGCTTGTTTGTTGGGGATGAAAGATTTGGAGTTTGAATCTTCCCAGCGTAAGCTTGTCTTGTTGAAGGTTGTAGAATTTTAAACTCAAGAGAGCTTGAATGATGATGAGCAAAAGTTGTAGCAAAGTTATCTTCCTTGTTCTTCTTCGTGTAGCTTATATACGGAGGTTGTCTGCCCGTTGGAGGAGGAGACAACTGCATTAAATGCGCGTACTGTTGACTTGACCGCCGTTTTGGAAGGTTTCTATTTTTATAATATATCTTCCCGGATTCCTTGGTCAATCATTTGCAATCAATCCTTCAGCGTATCAGGCTCATTTAATGTGCATTAAATGCTTTCCTTTCATGCACAGTCTTCTAGCCGTTGGATGTTTTTACCCGTTGAATCCATAGCTGTTGGATGTTGCTTGAAATCTTCTAAGTGTTCGTCGGGCTCTGATCAGGCTCTTCTGATATGTTGGATTCTGATGGCTATCTGATGAGTTGAGTTCTGATGGTCTTCTGACTGAACTCTGATTCTGACTCTGATAGGTCCGCTGATGAGTACCTCTGATCTGTAGTTCTCATCGGCTATCAGATGTTCAAGTTTATCAGCAACTCTCATAGGTGCAACTCTGATGGACTTCTGGTAAGAGAACTCTGATGGAGCAGTTCTCATAGAGCAAGTCTGGTAGAGCAGTACTGATGCACTTCTGATCTGATCCAAAATAGAGCAACTCTGATCGTCGACTACACTAATACTTACAACTGAAAATTCTAATACATAGAATCTGATTTGGGGGTACTTTAAAATTCTAATCCTATAGCATCATCAAAATCTAATTACATTTATTCCTTACAGTACTTCTTGAGTTCGTCGAAGGCCTCTTGACACTCAGATGTCCATTGGAAGCCAGCTGTCTTCCTCATGATTTGGAAGAAGGGGAGAGCCCTTTCGGCTGACTTAGAGAGGAAACGGTTGAGGGCTGCCAGGCGGCCCGTCAGCCGTTGAACTTCTTTGACGTTGCGTGGAGGCTCCATGTTGATGATGGCTTGAATTTTCTCGGGGTTAGCCTCGATACCCCTTCGGCTTACCATGTAGCCCAGGAATTTCCCTCCTTGCACGCCGAAGGTGCATTTCTTTGGATTTAGCCGGAGATTGAATTTTTGCATGATGGCAAAGATTTCCCGGAGGTCGTCGGCGTGAGTGCTTGCCTTCTTACTTTTGACGATCATATCGTCAACGTAAGCCTCCATGGTGCGTCCTAGGACAGCCTGAAAGACTCTGGCCACCATTCGGGTGTAGGTGGCGCCTGAATTCTTGAGGCCGAAGGCCATCACAAGGTAGCAGAAGATACCTTCGGGTGTCATGAAGGCAGTTTTCTCAGCGTCTTCCTCATGCATGTAGATTTGATGATACCCTCGGAATGCGTCGAGGAAGGACATGATTTCGCATCCCGCGGTCTCATCAACCAGCTGATCAATGTTTGGCAGTGGGAAGGGGTCCATGGGGCATGCCTTATTCAGATCCGTATAGTCCACGCACATGCGGAAGGTAGGAGGCTTCTGTGCGAGGACTACGTTTGCTAACCAAGAAGGGTATTTCACCTCCTTGATGTGTTTGATAGAGAGGAGCATGGCCACCTCCTTTTTCACAAACTCCCTTCTCTCGGCCGAGAGGGGTCTTCTCCGCTGTTGTACTGGCTTGGCCGAAGGGTCCACCGCCAGGCGGTGGGTGATAACCCTTCGGTCAATTCCTGGCATGTCCTCCGGCCCCCATGCAAAAACAATGGAGTAGGCGCGGAGGGCTTCGGTGATGCCAGTCTTCAGGTCTTCGGGGAGCTTGGCTCCAATCTTCAGGGCTCTCTCCGGCTTGGCCGGATCGAGTATCAAATCTTCGGTCTCCTCGGCAGGCTCAGCCCTCGGCCTGCCTTCTTCTTCCTCTAGGGCCTTGGTGGTGATGGTGTCAACTCGAAATTCAGTTTTGCTAACCTTCTTGGTAAGCTGAAGGTAGCAGGCTCTGGAGAGTTTCTGATTCCCCCTCGAGTAACCGATGCCGTTAGGCGTGGGGAACTTGAGGCAGAGGTGCCTCATGGAGATGTGACGTGCACTTTGTCGTGATGTGCACTCAAAATAATAATACAATACGACACTAATACGTAGTATAGTGTAGTAAGGTTCGTATCCACAGGGAAAGGAATACTTCTCTTTTTAATTAAATAGTAACAAGAGGGGTTTTAGATTTGATTTGATTTAATTTAATTAACACTAAGATGAATGAGTTTAATTAATAGAGATGAGGACTTGGTTTTGCTTTTATCCACTTAATGAAGTGTTCGTCGATCCCGGTTATATCTTTAACTATCTTCCTCTCGAATACTCAATCGAGGAGTATATCCAGTTCATCGAGGGTAGTTATTAATAACGAGACGCGTTCATTAATAAAACTTACTACCGAGTCAATATAGAACAAGCGCCGTATATTAACTTGATAGTAGCAATAAAATCAAGATGAAAACGATTGAGATTGATAACCTCAACACAAGCGGTTTATTGGTTTAATCAATATAATTAATTCCCCTTAGATTATTAACCATGAGATGCATGCATTAATAATCCAAGTTTACTACCATGAAAGGACCGAATTAATAACAAGCGTATTAATCGACCGATTCTAGTATTAATTAATATATGAAACAAAACTAGTTGATCCTTTAAGTAATGTTCAAAATATTAATATGAAATATGAATAGGAATTAATTAATACTCAAGAAAGAATATTAAAGAAGATGAATCCTACTATAGTTAATATCAAGATGTTAACTAATTGTCATCTTAGTAACACTCCCCAATATTAACGTAGAGGAAGAAATAATTATTACTATAACTAATGTCAAGATGTTAACTAATTGTCATCTTAGTAACACTCCCCAACATTGATATAGAAATAGTATTTAAAGGAAGAATTAATATTCAAGGAAGAAGATTAAAGAGAATAACTCACAACTTACAAATTCATTAAGCTTCAAAGTAGCAAAACCAAGATGGAAGAGTTTAGCTCCTCATTCGGAGACTAAACATGATAGAAAATATAAAGAAAACACTAATCTAAACTGAGCTAAAGAGTATATGTGAATTGGTTTCTAAAAAGTGAAGGAAAGGAGGTGTATTTATAGGCTTTTTGAGGTGCAGGCTCGGGTACTCGATCGAGTATATACAGATACTCGATCGAGTATGTGTAGAAATACCAGATTCGAGGTATACTCGATCGAGTATATGTTCATACTCGGTCGAGTATGTGCAGAAAGTGATATTCGAGCCATACTCGACCGATTTCGGGTTTAAACTCAAAGGCATACTCGATCGGGTATGTCGGTCTACCCGATCGAGTATAGACACTAAATCGTGGCCAAAATCTTCCCGGCATGTTCCTTTGTCTTCGGATCCGATCCGATTTGAAGTTTCAACCTTATACTCGATCGAGTATAGGTAATACTCGACCGAGTATAGACCAAAATCAGGGTTTCCCTTTTTTCTTGTGATTTTGCACCTTCCTTCCACTTTTGGGGTTCACCAACTGTCCTTTGAGTGATGGTAGACCTGTTTGAGCTCAGAATGACCCTAATCTAAACAAATTACAAGAATTCAACAAACTAAACTATTACACCAAAAGTGTGTAATTTCCGAAATACTAAACAACCAAAACTAGCTAAAAACGTAAACATACATACGGAAATTACAAGTGTATCAACTCCCCCACACTTAGTTCTTTACTCGACCTCGAGTAAAACAGAAACATCCAACCGGTTTAAGAGTTTTCCAAAAGTTCAAGAAAGAAGGAAACTAAGACCACCAGGGGAAAAATGAGTTTTTACAATAACATTCTTTCTAGGGTTTAATGATCTTCTATGCTCCATCTTCTTGCCCTTTTTTTTTTCTTCTTTTTCTTCTCTTCTTCCTCTTTTTCTCCAAAGAGATTAAATGAGTGCATGCAAAAATAAATATTACTCTCATATCTCTCATTTTGCCTAGGAGCCTTTTCAGGTTTTCATCCTAGCATCTCTTTTCATTTTCCATTCTCCCAACTCACTCATCATTTTTCACAAGCCTTTTTTTGCTTAGATTGCCCATTTTGTTGGGTTTTCAACCTAACTAGCATTTCTTTTTCTTCATTTTTTTTTGTTTTTTTTTTTTAAAGAAGTTCATGCGTAGTAAAAGGTAGAAAATAAGATTACATACCCATGATGAGTCTCCTCCCCCACACTTAGTTCAAGCACTGTCCCTAGTGCCCAATTTCGGCTTTTGTTGTTTGTGGAGTGGGGTGATTTTGATTTTTGGTGGGTTGTGGGTGTTTTGGTGGGGAAATGATGGAGATATGGTAGAGAGAAGGTAGAAAAATGGAGTTTTGGGGAGAAGGGGTCGAGGTTGGTATGGGTGTCTGGAGAAGATGAAGTGTTTTGGGGAGTGTTTTGGGGTTAAGTTGCAGATTTACCCGATCGGATACTCAACACAGGGGTTCGAGTATGAAGTTTTCCAGTAATACCCGATCGAATATGGCTTAATACTCGATCGGGCCTTCAAGACAGGGTCTGGTAGGTTGATTTTCCAGACATACTCGACCGAGTATATGTCCATACTCGATCGAGTGCTGGAAACAGGCTCTTTTTGGATTTGCCTTTCTGGACATACTCGACCGAGTATTACTGATACTCGATCGAGTATGCCTCCAATGTTTAAAATACTGACCATTTCGCTCGAGTATGGAACTCGGTTCTCCCTATTTTTACCCATACCCGACCGAGTATGGAGGATTACGCGATCGGGTATGTCCCCAGATACACTTTTTTTTTTTTTTTTTTTTTTTTTTACACACGCACACATACTGAAATAAACTGAAAAGAAAACATACCTTGCTTGGGTTGCCTCCCAAGAAGCGCCTAATTTAACGTCGCGGCACGACGCCATCATTGTGTTCAATCGTTCAAGCTTGGATCGTGATACTTCATCTTCTTCAAATTTTCACCCGGGTGACTCTTATAGAAATACAATATTTTTCGACCCTCTATTTGGACAATCTTTCCGGGATCAAATATCCGGATTTGTATCGCTTCATATTGTGAGAGTGAGGGTCCATGATTTTCTCTAAGCATGGTCAATGGAAGGGGTTTTGATTCGGGTGGTATAAGAGGGAGTATGAAATATTTGTGCAACTCCACCGTTATTCCTTGCTTATTTGTGAACAAAGAGAAGTCTAAATTATATTCACAATTGCGGAAGATTTCATAGATATCTTTGTCCTTCTCCACCCTTTGTGTTTCATTTAGAGCCTCCGGAATTGGTGGCATGATCTCAGGAATGGCCGATGGTTGAGTTGAGTTTTGAGGTTCCTCCTCCAGTTGAGCTTTCTCCGTATTCTCCTCTTCTTCCTCCTCCTCGCTCATGTGGTTCACAATGCTTGGCATTTGTTGCGCTTGATTGTCCAAGTTCTGTTCGTTGGACATTGTTTCTTGCGGGCATTGTGACACATTTTGTTGCATATTTGTCACATTGATAGTGAGAGATCGGATCATGTCTTCAGTGGACATGCTAGAATAAGAACTTGAGTATGGGTTATATGTGTTGGAGAATGAATCATACCTCTCTTGGAAACCAACATCATTCCTTTGTTCAAAGTATTCTTTTTGAAGTTCTGGGCAAAAATCCGTAAGATGTCTGTGTGACATGCAAGTGTTGCATGTATGGACATCTTGAGATTTTGAACATGAAATAAACTCCTTTATTAGAGAAGTTAAGACGGAAATTTGCCTCTCTAGGGATGATATGTTGGTATCCATATACTCATGTAAGCTCAGAAAATAGAAAAGTAAGATTTTGTTTTTTTTTTTTTTTTTTTTTTTTTTTTTTTTTTTGTTTTTGATTTTTATGAGATAAAATAAAAAGAAAAATAATTGCCTTTCCCCGGCAACGGCGCCAAATTTGACGTGCACTTTGTCGTGATGTGCACTCAAAATAATAATACAATACGACACTAATACGTAGTATAGTGTAGTAAGGTTCGTATCCACAGGGAAAGGAATACTTCTCTTTTTAATTAAATAGTAACAAGAGGGGTTTTAGATTTGATTTGATTTAATTTAATTAACACTAAGATGAATGAGTTTAATTAATAGAGATGAGGACTTGGTTTTGCTTTTATCCACTTAATGAAGTGTTCGTCGATCCCGGTTATATCTTTAACTATCTTCCTCTCGAATACTCAATCGAGGAGTATATCCAGTTCATCGAGGGTAGTTATTAATAACGAGACGCGTTCATTAATAAAACTTACTACCGAGTCAATATAGAACAAGCGCCGTATATTAACTTGATAGTAGCAATAAAATCAAGATGAAAACGATTGAGATTGATAACCTCAACACAAGCGGTTTATTGGTTTAATCAATATAATTAATTCCCCTTAGATTATTAACCATGAGATGCATGCATTAATAATCCAAGTTTACTACCATGAAAGGACCGAATTAATAACAAGCGTATTAATCGACCGATTCTAGTATTAATTAATATATGAAACAAAACTAGTTGATCCTTTAAGTAATGTTCAAAATATTAATATGAAATATGAATAGGAATTAATTAATACTCAAGAAAGAATATTAAAGAAGATGAATCCTACTATAGTTAATATCAAGATGTTAACTAATTGTCATCTTAGTAACACTCCCCAATATTAACGTAGAGGAAGAAATAATTATTACTATAACTAATGTCAAGATGTTAACTAATTGTCATCTTAGTAACACTCCCCAACATTGATATAGAAATAGTATTTAAAGGAAGAATTAATATTCAAGGAAGAAGATTAAAGAGAATAACTCACAACTTACAAATTCATTAAGCTTCAAAGTAGCAAAACCAAGATGGAAGAGTTTAGCTCCTCATTCGGAGACTAAACATGATAGAAAATATAAAGAAAACACTAATCTAAACTGAGCTAAAGAGTATATGTGAATTGGTTTCTAAAAAGTGAAGGAAAGGAGGTGTATTTATAGGCTTTTTGAGGTGCAGGCTCGGGTACTCGATCGAGTATATACAGATACTCGATCGAGTATGTGTAGAAATACCAGATTCGAGGTATACTCGATCGAGTATATGTTCATACTCGGTCGAGTATGTGCAGAAAGTGATATTCGAGCCATACTCGACCGATTTCGGGTTTAAACTCAAAGGCATACTCGATCGGGTATGTCGGTCTACCCGATCGAGTATAGACACTAAATCGTGGCCAAAATCTTCCCGGCATGTTCCTTTGTCTTCGGATCCGATCCGATTTGAAGTTTCAACCTTATACTCGATCGAGTATAGGTAATACTCGACCGAGTATAGACCAAAATCAGGGTTTCCCTTTTTTCTTGTGATTTTGCACCTTCCTTCCACTTTTGGGGTTCACCAACTGTCCTTTGAGTGATGGTAGACCTGTTTGAGCTCAGAATGACCCTAATCTAAACAAATTACAAGAATTCAACAAACTAAACTATTACACCAAAAGTGTGTAATTTCCGAAATACTAAACAACCAAAACTAGCTAAAAATGTAAACATACATACGGAAATTACAAGTGTATCAAGATGACAGCCTCCAAGTCCTCGAGGGCAGGCCGGCCGAGGATGATGTTGTGTGCGCAGTCGAGGTTGACGACGACGAACTCCACTTCGAGCTTGGCTCTATGGGATCCGTCGCCGAATTCAACCATGAGGGTGATGACGCCCTCGGCGTCTATGCTGTCCCCCGTAAATCCGGAGAGGGGGGTGTTGATGTGTCGAAGGGACCCCCTGTCGAGTCCCAGCTCTTGGAAAGTGCTGAGATACATGACGTTGACAGAACTCCCCGTGTCGACGTAAGTCCGGTGGATGATGGCGTCGTTGATCTCAGTGCGGATGACGAGGGCATCCCTATGCGGCAAAGAACCCGAGGGGAGGTCCGCATCTGTGAAGAAGATTGGATCCGCCCTCGGCCTTTTAGTCGGGGGCATGTGATTGACTTCCCCAACGTAAAGGGATTGAGCCCACTTCTTTCGCTGGCTGGTGGAGTCTCCACCAGTGTTGCCGCCGTTAATCATGTGAATGGGGCGCTTGTATTGCTGATGGGAGCCTTCCCCCTCATCTTCGAGGCCCCCAATTTCTCGCTTCTTTCCCTGTGGGTTCCCCAAGGGAATGGTGTTGGGGTTCACCCACTTGTTTGCCTTCGGTGGTGGCCCTTGATGGTGAAGGGGGCCCTGGGGAGGAGGGCCCCTGATAAACTGAGACAAGTGGCCCGCCTGTACCAGCCTCTCGATGGCGTTCTTCAGCTGATGGCAGTCGTCGGTCTTGTGTCCATGGTGGCGGTGGAAACGGCAATAGGGCTCATCAGGGCCGATGGCATAGATCTCGAGGGGTGTGCGGGAGTCTCGCTCAACGAGCCCCCGTTCTTCCGCATGATCAAGAATGACGCTGACGGGATGCGTCAAGGGAGTACGTGGGTGCTCAAGGAGGACGGGTTGCGCCCATGCCTTCGGGTTGTTTTTGTAACCGCCCCCGGTTCTGGCTTGGCCACCTCGGGGGCGATCGTTGTATTGAGCCTCACGTTGGGCCGGAGGGGGAGGCCCTCCGGGCCTATTCCTGCCTTCATTCCTCTGAGAGGGATCCGTGTTGCGGCGGTCCTTCTCGATTTCCTCCGCTTCAGCATATCGGTCCCCCCGCTGAAGGGCCTTTGTATAATCGCGGGGGGGATCAGTAATGAGGCTTCGGGAGAAGTTACCGTTGCGGAGGACGGTGTGGAAGAGGGCCATTAGCGTCCTGTCATCGGCGCCTTCGACCTCGAGGGAGGCCTGCCTCCAGCGTTCCAGGAAACTCCGAAGGGTTTCCTCCTTTTGTTGTCTCACGTTCAGGAGGTGGGAGAAGTGTTTCTTTGAGCGATGCCTCCCTGCAAATTGTGTAAGGAAGCGGTGGGCAAGTTCTTGCCAAGAATCAATGCTGCCTTCGGGCAACCGGTTGAACCACTCATACGCGGGTCCCTCCAAGGTGGAAAGGAACCAACGGCATAAGTATTCATCCGATGCCCCCATCATCATCATGCTGTTTTGGTAACGGCTATAGTGCTCTTGGGGATCCGTCTTCCCCTCATACGGCTTGATGGGTTGCCCCCGATATTTGTGGGGGATTTTGGCCGCCAACACCCTTGGGGTGAAGGGTGTTCTAGTACGGAGTTGAATGAGGGGCTCGCCTGAGCCTTCGGCGAGCTTACGCTTCATTTCCTCCACCTGTGCCCGGAGGTCAGCGTATTCGGGATCTGGCCTCGCTGTGGAAGCCGTCGGGGGTGCCTGACGATTCTCCTCAAGTTGGCGGAGGAGGGCCTCGATAATTTCGTCCTTGGGATCCTTCGGGGCAACCCCTTGGGAGTTGGCCCGGAAGGATTGCGCCTGATTGATTTGGTGTCTGGCGTCATCGACATGGAGGATGGCTTTGCCCTTGCTTCGGGGTGGAGGTATGCCCTCGGCTCCCGAAGCGGAGGCTCCGCTCTCCTGAGGCCTGCTGAATTCCTGTTTGCCGAGGCGGTCTTGGACCCCTCGGCGTACGGGAGCTCCCCCAAGCCTCTCAAGTGCAGAGGTCCGGGGTTTCTTCTTCATCAAGGGACGTTTATCCCTGGATTGGGCCTCTTGGGAGGCGGTGTCCTGTGCCATGACCCCTTCGGCGTTCCCAACCCCCGGGGGAGGATTGTTGAACAGAGGGGGGAGTGGTGGCAATTGAATAACATTTCCTCCAGCGTAGGGCTGGAGGGGTGCCTGAGAGGCGAGGGCTCCGGAATTGAGAGCCATGTTTTGAACAAAGGCCGCAAAGGCAGCCTGAAGATCGATGGCCGAGGCCGGAGGAGGAACTTGGTTCTCACTCCGATCCCTCCTTCGATTATCAAGGCCAATGCGGGCATCGGGGGTGTTCTTCTGCAGCTGCTGACGTAGATCAGCGGTGGCTTGCTCTAATTCGAGGATGACACCACCCTCGGGTACTAAGAGCCTGTTGGAGGCCTCAGCCCCGTAAGTTTCGCCGGGGGCTACGTAGTTTTCCTCAAGGGTCTTGGATTGGGCACGGGTGGTTCTTCCCATTTTTGGTAAGGGTTTGTGTTTGGTAGAGGGGGAGGGTTTCTTACTTGATAGTTCAGACCTCTCAACGAGAGCACCAAATGATGGATAGTCTACCCGGGGGGTATCTTATCCGAGGGGTTATTGCGGAAATAACTAGAGAGAAGTCAGAGCAAAATAGGAGGAGAGAGAGTTGATTTTATTAAATGAACTCAGCGTGGAGTTGAGATGTAGGTTGTGTTGATTACAAGGAGAAATAGGCTGCTATTTATAGCAGCAATAAATGCGATGAGGGGACACGTGTCAGTAATCCAACGGCCGAAGGGTCACATCAGCCTAGTGGTGCTGGCAGTGGTACGTCAACCGCATTGAATGCGGTTGGCGGATGTGACGTGGCATTAAATGCGGTGGTTGGCTGTCTCTAAAAGGAATCTTCGATGATTGAGCCTGTTCAGCCGAAGGCTCATTGTGTTAGCCGAGGGCTCCCTGGTGTGGCCGGGAGCTAGGTCCAGCCGAAGGCTTCTTGTGTAGCCGAGGGCTCATCGTGTTGCCGAAGGCTCCTCGTGTAGCCGAGGGCGTAAGAATGCCGAAGGCTCATGTTTTCGCCCGTTTTCTCCCAGCAGCTTCTTGTGCCAGAAAGGCTATCCTGTGAGTTCTGGAGCCTTCGGCCAAGGAGGCCGAAGGTATCCCAGTGTGTAGTCTGAGCTACTTTGAGGCTTGGACCGATGTACTTGGGCCTGAGTTGTTTCCTGAGCCCAGTGGACTTGTGTAGGAGAAATAGCCAAATAGGAGTCTATGGGCCGGGGGTTCCTGGGCCATATACTCCATCATTATCTTTTATATTTTGAAACTTACTTCGAATGTTGTTGAATAAATTGAAGTTGCGCTATCAATTGTAATATTATGTAACCTTGTTGCCACACACAGATTATATAATTGAACACATAAATGCACAACCAAACAATGTTTAGAGTTTAGAGTTTAGACTATACAAACGATATAAATGAACACACAGACGGTTAGGAATACTATATACCGACTAGTGTAATAGCTTTGTATTCAGTTTAGATGTTATAATTAGTTTGAGCTGTTTACTTTATGTTACAAGTCGGTTAGAGCTACCGCTCTATAAATAGCAATGTATTGGTATTATGATCTTAATGAAATCATCCTTCTTCATCGCTATACTCTGTTACTTTTCTAATACAGAGACAATTATTTTTTATGCACAAACAAATACACACAAACAATATAAATAGACACACAAACAATAGTTTTCTCCACACAAACAAAATAAATGAATATATGACCAATGTTTTAACTACACATAGACAATGTAAATAAACACACAGACAATTTCAATTTCTTACAGTTTCAATTAATATAGAAAATTATGAGAAGTGACTTCATGTATGGTTAAAAGACAATTCCTTTCAACTCATTAGTCCATTTAACCGGGTATCGTCTGTGACCGAAGCCTTTATATTTAGTTCACATACAATTTCACTTACCCCATTAACCCACTATAGTGGCTATTATCTATGAGCAAACACTTCATATTTTATTCACAAACAATTCCAGTTAGCCCTTTATTCCATTTAAATGACTATTACATATGGTTAGATACTTCATGTGATTCAATTATTTTGTTTGTGCGTGGTTTAACTTTGTCTGTGTGTTAGTTAATTTTGTTTGCTAATATTTTAAACATTGTCTATGTGTTCTTTTATTTTGTCTGTACGTAGAAAATCATTGTTTGTGTCTCCATTTACATTGCATATGTGTGGTTTAAACATTCATCCCCTCAAACCTGTCACAAACATTTCACTTTCAAAAATGAAAAAATGTCTATACATAGACAAAACTCGTATAAAATCGTCTCTACACTCACAAAAATTGTCTACAGACACAACTACTATATGTATGTTCTATTGCATCGACCAAAAAAGTTGCTAAGTACATACTTAAATGAACAATTCTGATCTCATAATTACAAACAAAAAATAGAGCATATTGAAATAAAGAAAGAACGGAGAGAGCTAGAGAAGATAAAATAACACATTTTCTATTCTTCTGCTTAGAAACTCCTCCTTGTCACAAACTCACAATTAATCACATACAAAATCACGTGTGCTGCTCTAATCTGATATAACAACAAGAACTCATCATGTTCTAATTTACGTATTTTTTACCAAGAAACACCATATTTATAATGAAAAGCCATGCATCATAAGTTTCAAAGACACATGTACTATAGCCTAAGATTAACAGAAACATCCCTCTACTTACACTATTCTCTTCCATATGCAAACTTGTCAAATCAGGGAGAACCGTCCAAACAGGGTATTACTTTGAGTATTAGCAAACTATTGGTCCTATTGATTAACAATTTTTTTGGATCAAGGATTAACAATTTCTTAAGGCCTTCAAACTAATCATCAAATTCCTCTGATTACCACCACCTATGCTGCATTTCACTTTCCCCTTTTCAATTTTATCATACGTTTCACCATTTGACTTCTTTACGCACTAAATCAGCATCAACAGTGTCATCATCGTGGACTTCGGCTGCATTTGGTTGTGTTTCACCTAATGATAGTGTTGAACTCCCAACCCCCAAATAATCTCCTGAAACCCTAATTCTCTTAGAGGAATATCATCATTATCTCATTGTACACTTGATCAATCTGTAAAAAAAAAGTCAAGAAGAAGAGTTAACTTCAAACACTTATTACAGCCCATTGGAATGAAGCAAATCTAAGCAAAATACTACAATAGTCAAAAAACAATAATCTGAAATCGAAAAAAAGAAATTTAAAATCAACTAAATATCAAAGAACATTATAACACCAAACTAAGAATAAAAGAATAATGTTTATCCATGATGCTGAGTATTTTATATTTATGTTTCTAATATTCAACATATATTAGAGGCCAACATTTCACTAATAAAATAGTAAAAACATAATAAGCCGAGTGTTTTCTATAAGTTCTATTTGTTTCTGTATCAAGTGCTCCCCTTTAACAAGATAACTTGTCATTTATACAATTCCACTCATCTGTCCTGACATGCTAAGAACCTCAAATTTGGCTTCAACCATTCATTTAACAGATTTATGTGGATTCATCCATGTACAATAAAGTTTAGTAGCCAACATTTCACTAGTAAACTAGTAAATGCATAATAGGCTAATAAAATAGTCAATAAAAATAACTATATCATTATTCAAATTGGGAAACAAGAAGATTAAAATCTTCAACAAATTAACAAAAAAGGACCAGTCAAAATAACAAGAAAGGAGATTAAAAGTCTTGGATTTAAACAAAAAAAATCATTGAGTAATTTCAACAAACATGTTATGAGCATAAATGTGAAATGGAGTAATTGAATTAAAATTTCAATAGTTAACTCTACATTCTCTTAATATTCAACTAATCAGTGGCATACCAAACATGATACACAAATAATCAGAAATTAAAAAAAAAACTAAAGTGCATATAGAAAAATCAAGTAGGCTATTACCTCAATTTATGGGCTAGTTGATGGCGGCTTCTTGTTCGAGCGGTGCAAATCGACCGTCTCACCCTCGCCTTCTGCACCGATTCCAGCTGCAAACACACCGTTGATGGGCTCGGACTCGAAGAGAGGTGACCACCTGAAAGTTTATTTCTGGGTTTTGAAAGGGAAAACAAAGTGAAATGAAAAGGAAGAAAAGAAGAAAGAGAAGAGAGGAGGTGAGACCGTGAGATGGAGAAGGGATGTGGCGTAAGAGAAGGGGTGCGAGAGAAGGGAGTGGGATGAGAAAGGGTAAAAGAAAAGGAACCGAGGTAAAAAAAATTAAACCTTTTATAGTGTGTATAAGGGTGTGTACAAATGTGTGTACAAGAAGCATTTCCCTTATATTTTGGCCATGGTTTCACTTTGATAGACGCCTAGGCGGATACTAGCATAAGTTGGAATCCGGTGATGAGTTGTATTCTTAGCATAAAGTTTGGCCATTTATTTAACCTAAAAAAAACTCATATCGAAAATTGAGACCTCTTTTGTCCGTACGTTGAATAATTGTTCACTTTATTCAGCCCAATTTCCTTTCAATTCAACCCACACTTTAAAATTGCTAGCCAAACTCCGCCCAAACCCCAACACACTAGCTTTTTCTATCTCTCTCTCAAACAAGCCAAACCAAAGGTTGGGCTCGAGTGGTTCATGGAATTTGATTTTGTCAAACCTATTTGGGGGGTGTATGGTTTCCATTTCTTCTTAATTACACACCCCACGATCTCATTAAGCATATGTATGGCAACACTGAAATCCCAACCTATGCTCATATTTCTTGCGGCCTTCCTTCTCATCTCCTCATCAATCCTTCCTCAATCATCCCTATCTTCTGCCCATCCTCATACAAACGCAGCCATGAGGTCAACACCAACACCACCATCTATATCATCTACAACCGAGTTGCACCCGAGCCGAAAGAGACTCCCGAGATCACTCCGTAATCCTTCTTCTACACAGAAACCACCGGATTACGGAGCCAGCTATCATGAAGTCCCCGGCGGCCATAATCCAGCAAGCAACCGCCGGTAAGTCCAATATCAGCTGAGATGAAGAGAGATCAAAATTATTACCGCAGACAGAGCGGATCTGTCACGTTATATATATAGAGTACGGTTTCAGTGATAAAGAGCTTCCAACCTGAGTAATGAGATTTTATACATTTGATTTTCACTCTTATATTTTAAGTTTTTATATGATGACAGAAAAAAAACACATAATTAATTACCAATTTGTCATCATTTCATTCATCTTTTTGTACTATGTTTGCACTTTTTAAACGATTGCTTGTAACTATTGGTTACTTGGGTATATATACAAATATGGTAAAAAGAAGATAGGAGTAAATTGGCTGTCAAAAACAGGGGTAAATTGGGGGTTGTCACAGTTTTGTTAGATAGAGCCTTGGTCTGCATGTAACCTAGTTGGGTCATGTTCTTCTTTTAAGTTTTGTTTTTTTAGATACGTGTAGCATATTTGTAATCAGCTATTATTTGTGTCTGATGAGTGGATACATCAGCCCAATAAATCATGATTTATACATTTATTTGTTGCTTATTAATAAGGTAGTAAATAAACAAATAAGTGCCTCTAAATATGAATTGGCAATGAATTAATTAATTACACTAATAAGGCTTCTGATAAATCCAGAATAGTTTAATTTCTCTACCGTACGGCATAGTGTCTTGGATAATCCGATGGCAGGAAGGGTAGGAGCAAACGTTTGGAACAAGCAAATAATCCAATTTGGCAGTCTAAAATGGCCAGGCACTCTACCTGGCAGCATAGCCAGGCGAATCTATATCCAATTATCCATCATCGTGAGGTCTTTATTTGATCGAACATTAACTTTGTAAAACATTTGCTTAAAAGTACTCCTTCCTTTTTATTTAGTCAAACACTATTTAATTTTTAACTTTGACTGATTATATATTTATACATTGTAATATTTATTTAGAAAAATTATATATGATAATATTGATAATATAAAATGTTTTTTGTTAAAAATATTGTCATAAAAATATAAATTTATTATGTTTCACATAAATATACTCCGTATTAGTTAGACTAATGGATTAAAGTTTAGGGAAAATGGAAACTAATAATCCAACCTTTTAGCGGTCTTCTTACAATAGTCCCACCTTTTCGTTATTCATGAATAATCCAACCTTTGCACCCCATCTTCATTCACTGGTCCCTGACCGGTTGATGATCTGCTATTCCAAGTTATTTTCTTATCTTTGCAAACCATTATACCATAAATCTCACCTTTTACAATGATAATATTTTGCAAAGATAAGAAAACAACTTGGAGTAGCAGGTCATTAACCGGTCAGGGACCAACAAATGAAGATGGTGTGCAAAGGTTGGATTATTAATGAATAACGAATCGGTGGGACTATTGTAAGAAGATCGCTAAAAGGTTGGATTATTAGTTTTCATTTTCCCTAAAGTTTATTACTTTCTACTGGATAAAGCAAAAATGACTAAATAAAAAAGATAAATGTAATATACAAAATAAAAATAGATACTCCGTGAAATAAATGGAGAGGGAGGTAGAGAATTTTATTTTGATACCCAAAACTTTTTTGGTATACGAAACCTACGAGGAGAGAATTGCATTCGCCCCTCAACTTCAGCAAAGGTGCAAGTGGGGTTGTGGTTCCATGACTTTTCTTCATATGTATACTCTGATTCCCAATTAAATAAAATCTTATGACTAATGAATACCTGATTATTACTTAATTATTACTCTCTCCGTCCCTATATTATCTCCTCCTTTGACATTTCACACAAATTAAAAAGTTGGATTTGTGTGGTGGAAAATTGTGTAGAGGAGAGAGAAATGTGTAAGAATGGTTGCAAACTACAAACCTGTTTATCTCATTCCAGCGTAAAATAAAATAAGTCTCCGAAAAATGTGTGCTGATTAAATATTTATAAAAAGAATACATTAACTTCAACCAATTTTATTTAGTTGTTTAATTTGGAGGAAATACGGATTAATAATCTTATTTTTGGATAGCGAAACTAGGAAAGGGAGCTTAATGGGGTTAGGGCGTAGATCTCCATACGGTTGACAAGAAATTAATCGATCAAGACTAATCAAATATGTGGACGATTAAAGATTGTCGGCTTAACGTCACATCATCGTGATTCATGATTATTTTGTAGTATTCCCAAATACATTTCACATCAAATTTATTGGGTCTAGTTGGATTGACGGGTTAACTAAATTATGAAAGACTTAAATTTAAAATATATATATATATATGGATACTTTGTAAATTGTAATTAAAAAAGAAAAAGAAAATAAGTAAAATGGTCATTTGTACGGAGTAGTAAATTTTGTTCAATGATGTTTGAAAAATAACTCTCATTTTATCTATTTTGACTATTAGACAACTTAACTCATGAACACAAAAGTGGCGTACTCCATTAAAAAAAAGTTGATTGAATGACAAATAAGCTGAAGAACATGATCGACACTAAGAGACCGTTTGATAACACTCCTTTTCAACTAATCAGGTTTATCAGCCAACTTTTTCACTAATCACGTAACTTTTGTTTTTACGCGTGAATTATGTAATAATAAGATAAAATGAGGTTGAAATTACTTTTCTGATTGTGTTGGCTAAAGTTACTGTACATGACCATTTTAGCTATTTTAACATACTAGTTTTTATTTATTTCATTTATAAAATATATTTTATTAATATTTTTTTCTTAAATCAGCAGAATCGGCCAATGCATCCACATTAGGTAGAACTTCGTAATTTTCAACAGAATTAACCGAATAAGCCGATTTTCGTGTTACCAAACAAGCTCTAAAACTCGTACTAGTGCGGAGTATTTCATATTATTGTTTTTCTCTATTTAACTATCAATCATACGATTTTCAAAAAAAAAACTATCAATCATACAATTTCAATATTGTAATTATTATTGGGAAGTAATGTATAGACTCATGTATGGGGTATAGGGATAGGAGTAGCTTGGACTGGACTTTGGTGCTTGGCCAGGAAAAACATGGTAAAGGCATGAATTCCGTTGCTTTTAACTTTGCCTTTTTGTCTTCTCGATTGCACACAACTCAATAAAGTAAGGAATCATACCAATATCATTTGACTATTAAGATATGCCTAATTCTGTCCTCATTACCTAATTTCAGTCCTAAAGCTTTGGAAAGTCCGTCCTTGATTAAGATATGCCTAATTCTGTCCTCATTAACAATTTTTTCCTGATCTACATCTACTATGGAGTATTTCATACTACGTATCCGATATTATACTCTAATAACTACTAGCTTAATTAAACAATTTGGCAATTTAACACCTAAGCCTAGGGAGCCGATGCATTCTTCGAGCAGAAAGAAAAATCGCCTAAGCCTACTAACAGTTCAAATCCCAATTTGTCAATTTCACACCTAAGCATATAAACAGTTCTAATCAATTGTAATCTAACACAATATATTCGAGATCATTGTTATACTTTTCACATAGTATTTTCACATGGACAAAGGTCACCTTCCCCTCCAACCCCTACCCGAGCCTTGTGTATAATTGTGTGTGTATATTTACTACTCCCTCCGTCCCAAAATGGTTGGCCAATGTTGACTTGCACGTGGATTAATAAAGTAAAAACTGTGTGGTTAAAATTTGTGCAGAGGAGAGAGAAATAACTTTAACCACATATTCCTTACTTTAAATGGAAATGGCCAACCTTTTTGGGTCGGCCAAAAAAGGAAATTTGGCCAACCATTTTGGGACGGAGGGAGTAGATGAAGTACCTGTGCCGCCTTGCGATGCACGGTAAATCTAGAGTAAAGAAAGATAATTTATTTAAACTTATGTTTGATTACGTTGGTAAGTAATGTGTACTTTCGTTAAATAAAAAAACAATATAATAGAGCTTATATGTTACGTAGTACGGAGTATAAGTTTTATTATATAATGCTGAGTAGTAGTAAGTAGTTTGTAAGAAAAGGGAAGGTTCAAGTCCTTCGTAATTTGTAAAAATAGGAAATTTTGTATTATAAAATATGGTAACTCTCATTGAGAGTGGTCGGTACTGTTGAGAACTTTTGTAGCATAGTCTCTAAGAAATATTTTCAAGGTCCAAACTTCTTGATCCGAAAGGAAGTGATGGTCATTCTAGACAAATCTTGACTCTCATTCTAGCTTGATCAACACGAATTAGATATTTTTCGGATAGTCGTCATTTAGTGTAATCTACAAATTAAACAACTTTAATAAAAGTAGGGATCAATGACGAGGAAGTTCAAAGGAGATTAATATGATTGAAATGTAATATGATTTTAGATAGTCAAATGTCCAACATCAAGTTCAAAGGTGAATACATTCATCTAATATTACACTGTTTAAAGACGAATTTTTAAACATTATAACATTAATTAGGTCTCTAAATTGATGTTGTAAATTTGCCTTGACATGATTAGAACTTCTTTTTGTTGTACCATTAAGTAAAACTTTCCAGGGTCAAACTTCATTATGTTTGTGGTGCTATATTATATTAGTCGTGTTGGAGAGTATATACTTTTCATTCCGATTCACCAATCCCCGCTTATGTCTACAAAATTGATCCATGTTTGTTGATGGTATGATCAAAACCATCGCCCAATTACGGAATTAAGATCAAGCCCATAACGGGATTAAGCCCTTAATGGGATCAGCCTATAAATAGAATTAGCCCTTAACGGGATCGAGCCCTAAACGGGATTAATGTTAATTAGCCGCTAGGCCTAATTAGGAATCAGGCCCACGAAAGGAACCCACAACCAGGCAGGACAGCAGACCTCAAGCCTGTGCGGAGTTCTAGTGAGATCGGGATATTCCTAGGGCTTACGTGGCAGGCTATCATTAGAGCATAGCTATCTGGCAGCAGGCATGAATAACGAAAGAAACGTGGACTTAAAGGAGCAATTATTGCAAAACGTACAAGACGTTACAGGAGTTTTATTCGATTAGAATATGATTAATAGCATTTATTGTATCAGTTTCCTCTTAGAATACTAGTTCATATTAACAGTGTTTAATATTTGTGTTCCTCAATTAAGTTGAGGACACTTAATCCCATTTATAATGATGATTTACAAGGCTAATAAATACAAGGATAAATACAAGGAGACAAGGAGTAATTACATAAGAGAACTGTCCACCGGCGAGGTCTCAACGATCCCATCACTCTAGGCAAACCCCAAGGGCCTTAGCGATGGATCGAATGGGTGGTCGGAGGATCTATGTGCATGATAGAATCTCCTCCAGGGCTGAACAAAGCGAGGAGGCATCATCAACGGCTATTTCTTTTCATTGCCGCAGTGTGCGTCGGAGAGATCTCAGGCACAATGATAAGTTCGTATTTAGACACGCATTTGATGCGTGTTCGGGTCGGATTTTGATGGTTTTTCTAGCTTTAAGGCGTTGCAAGTCTCAATTTTGGCTCAAGTTGTGTTTAGCAGGCGTTGGATCGAGTTTCGTTGCAATTGGAGTTGAATTGAAGAAGTTAGAGTCTGGCAATCGGCGCTTG